GCCTGACGGCTGCCAGGCTGCCGTCCGAGATGGAGGGTCCAAGAGGCACTGTCTTGGGGGAGAGCTGGTGAGCGTGCTGCCGGCCCTTTTCCCTGAGTACCCGAGCTGCCGTCACGCGGTGCCTGAGAGCGACACTCACTCCCGGCCCATTCTCAAAAGAGCGCCTCCAAGCCGCCACCAACAGCAGCTGCCGCCAACACCGCCTCTTCCAGGGAAGCGACCCTCTGGCTCTCTTGGCACCCCCAGCACCAGCCCCGCCAGCGGCTGCCTCAGTGCCCGGCAGTGCTTTCTCCTCCTCCTCCTGCTTCAGCCGCAAAATTTGCTCCTCTATCGTGGTGGGGGTAGCTGCTGCTGCTGAGTGTGCCTTTTTTTGAGGGGGGGCTCAGAGGAAGGTTGCTGGACCTCCGTGTGTGTGTTTGTGTGCGTGCGCGCACCTGTGGGGGTCCCGCCCCGTTCTGTTTAATTTAAGACTGAGGCAAAGAAGCAGCCGGGCTTGGCCGCTTCTCGTGACTGCCCACTGACTGCCACCCGATCGCAAGGAGACAACTGCTGGAGGGGGTGAGAGGTGGCCGAGCGTGGCTTCTTCTTTACCTCAGTCTGCTTCCTGCTGCTGCGTTCCGTGTGTAAAACAACCCTCAATATTTCCTCTAATTATTTTAGGGGAAAGTGTCATTTTATACACTGAAAAATATGGTAATTGGCTCAGAGTTTTTCGGTAGATTTCATGGTACAGTACTGACTTAGGCCTAGATGCCCCTAAAAGCCAATCCAGCACTGCAAGCATTATACAGTACCACCATGGCTCTCAATACTAGTGGTTTGCGGACTAAAGTGAGAAGGGGCCAAAGGGAGCAAAAATGCAAAAAGCACACAGCTATTCTATGATAACTTCCATTACAGAAATTCTCTTCTAATATACACAGCCCTACAGTCTATGGCCTACACCCTAGAATTTTTAGAAAAGAAATACACACAAATAGGGCCCCTTCCAGCTCTGCAGTTCCAATTTTATATTACATTGAGTAAACAGAGAATTATTTCTGAGCAGCAGACTCACAAGGCCACTACTCATATTTCCATAATATAACAGAATATATTTAAAAAGTAACTGTTTTAAATGTCAACAAGTGATACTACATAGGTTGTGGCTTTGTTTAAAGAGGATTTTCTATTTATTTTTTGTAGCATAAAAATTAAGCCTAGATCCTCATGCACCTGTGCAATAAATATAATTATTGTTATGTAGTATTTATTTATTTGCAATGTCCTGGTCCTAACCTTAAGACAACTGCTGCCAGAAGAGCCCTTTTTCCTTTTTCCAAATAAAAGGGAAATAAAAACTTTTGCTAGCCTTTACTGTTCTCCCGTTCCAAGACACCAACTGCAGTGGAAGGGGGCTACTCTCTTATATAAGATGTTTAAATGATCACATCCTGGTTGTTTGTCTTTTTTCACCAACTATCTGATGGGATATTTACTACTCCGTGCCCCACTGTTTTTAATGGGGTGTTCTGTGGCTAGTGTAACTGCAACCTGGATTCTGCTGGCACAGTTGTACACTGCTCTGTCTATGAAGCACTTGCAATTCATAACTGCTGTTAGGATTCTGTCTACCATGCCCTGAAGTCATCTGACATGTGGGCGTATTTCAGAAATCCTCATGAGAAAATTACAATATACGCACACATTTGAAGTGAATAAATGAGTTTTTTTGCTACACTTTTTAAACACTGCACTTCTATTATCTAGCTGGCACTGCTCCTCTGGAAGAACATTGTGAGTTGATAACCATATAACGAATGAAATAAATCCATCCACTTCATGGACACCAACTCCCTAGCCAATGGCTAAAATCAAGGGAAAGTTTTCTGCACACATCTCTAAATATTAAACCAGAAAAGGCAAAGCTGAATCTATTGAGAGCAAAAATAACACACCTTGCTAAATGGATGAGTGCCAAAGAGTGTCTCTCAAACCAGGACAAAATTCTGGCTGGGCCATCTGGAAGTCATTTAATAGACTTTGAAGAAAAGTAAGAAGATCAGATAATAAGTAAAATGGGGCTTCTTGAATAAAGGACAACTTTTCTGTGACTGGAGAAATTCAATGCAATCAATGCAACACTTAACGTGCATGCAATTTATGCCCCACCACCTCTACAAAAGAAGATTTAGCAAATAGCTGAGGTAACGCTATTGAAGTAGCCTCCTTCTGGTCAAAATAATCTAATTACCTTAACATTTTACCTAATTATCTGAACATTTTAATTTTACCTATATTTAATATATGGCCATAATTTTAAATTGTGTAACACTCTGATACAATAAAGAAAGAAACACTGTACTGTCCTTTAGTTTGATCATCAAACTAATAGCGAAATTTCATTTCCATATTTATAAAGCTGGAGGTTTCAGTTTATCTTCCAGTGTACACCACCTTCCCTACTATCAACTTTATTATGAACCATCCAGCCAAAGAAAGAAGCAGTGCCAACACAGGAATCTAAGCTTTATACCAAACTAGCTGTTTTGGACTATCTCCATCATTTTAATCTCTGTTGCTATCTGGATGGAGTAAAATGTGAGCCAAAGAGCTGCCTCTTGAAATTAATGAATGCTTGAATGGTCTCAAGATAAGGACGCAAAGGGGATGGCCTTTTGTAATAATCTATAGTACTCTCTTATCTTTCTTTAACAGCAAGTCCATGGAGTTTTCCTGTCACTGCTAAATAATGAACAAAGTGGACATAAAATGCCGTGAAAACAACAGGGAGAGCTGTACAACTTATAACCACTGATTATAATTAATCTCTCCTTATGTACTTATACAGAGCAAGTGTAGGGCAAATCTCTCTCCTAGAAAATTATTATTAAATGTTATGAGTGAAGCAATCTCCTCTATGCATGCAAGAACAGGAGGAATATCTTTAGCAGTATAATGGAATGCATTGCCATGCTTCCTCAATGCTCCTTAACATCTACAAGAAGCCACTTGGGGAAGTAATATAGAGGTTTGGGATTCACTGTCACTAGTATGCTATCTCTCCTTTGCTTCATCTGCAGGGGATGCTGTACAGGTCCTTGAGTGCTGCCTAGCATCAATAATGGACTGGATGAGATCCAATAAACTAAATCCAGATTAGTCAGAGATCCTACTTTTGGGAGGGTCATCAGACCGGTCAGAGAGAAACTTACCTGACCTTGAAAGGGTTATACTTCCCCTGAAGGATCGGGTTCACAGCTTGGGCGCATTCTTGCACCTGGCACTCTCTATGGAGGCTCAAATATTGATTGTGGTCAGGAGAGTGTTTTATCAACTCCAGTTGATTGCCTAGTTATACCTTACTTGGATAAGAAAGTGTTTTGTGCATTGCTGAGCTCAAAAGTAGATGACTGTAATGCCCTTTATGCAGGGTTGCCCCTGAAAACAGTACAAAAACTTCAGCAGGTCCAAAATGCAGTGGCCAAACTAATTTCTAGGACTAGGAGATTCAATCATATTTGACCAACCTTGGCTCACCCTGTCAGTTACTTACTGTGCTCAATGCAACATGCTGGTAACAACCTATAAAGCCCTTAAGGTTTAGGACCTTGATAGCTGCTGGAATGCCTCTCTCAGAAATCAACTGCCTGTTCCAACCACTCCTCCCAATTCATTTTGTTAAAAGTGACCACACTAAGGAAAGCCAAAAGACAAGCAACCAGGCCTTTTCAGTAGGGGCCTACAATCTCTGAAACAACCTTCCAGCTGAGATACATCAGACTCCTTCCTTCCAGGTATTCAGGAAATTAGTGAAAACAGAATTGTACAAAGCTACCTTCCGTATCCCCCAGATGCTGTTACACAATTAAATCCTCAATAGTTTATAAGCACTATAGAATTAGAATTTATAATCCATATTATGTGTTGAGATCTTTGAACTATAACATATTTTAATTAAAACTATCACCAAGTAAGCCTTTATAATGGCTATTTCACTTTTAGGTTATGATGGAATCTGCCACTGTCTGCAAATTACACTTTACCTAAACTTTGAGGAAACTAAGGATGGCAAGAGGCGAGGCATTCCACAGCAAGCTGCTTATCATATTTTTCATATGCCAACCATCTGATATAATACCCACAGATGTATCATTACTAAAACAAATATAAACCAGGAATGGAACATATGTATGGCTCTGTGATAAGACTTGACAGCTCCTTGCCTGCTTCTATATGGCAACTACTCTTATTACCCTCTATATAGAGAAAACATTTATTGCTCTGCTACCACTCTTAAACAACTAGTTGAGATGATACCGAGGAGTTCAAACTAACTGAAAGCAGATGTCTTCACTTGTGGTTATCTTGCCAGACAACTCTCAGGTACATTCAGGGTGGAGAGGGCTTTCTGACAGCAGATGGTACATTGTACTTGTGAGGTCATACGCAGTAGATCAAGGCTCCCTCATTATGTTAGCAAACAATTACTTTCTGCAGGAGACCAAAAGGCTTGTTTACTTTATTGAGCTATAAAAATAAAAATAAAAAGAGTAGGCAAAACACCCCTTTTAATAGGATTATATAATACTTCTACTGAGCCTTGTTATCAAATTTTATTCATGGACCAGAATCCTGTTGGGATTTTACTCTAGAGCAAATGAAATCACAAAAGTCACAGAGCTGAGTTGCAGCTATTTAACCTGGTCACATACCTGGTCCTATGACTGTCATACAATATGATTCTGGCCACAGAGACTGCAAGACATACTGAGAACTAGTAATCTAATGATTATAGTGTATTTTAACGATGCTAAGTATTTGAAGCTTCTGGCTACATAAAATTCCTATGGGAGTCATATAAGGTCATATCTGTCCAGCGTGCCTCTATCTGGCATTTGCATGTTTGACTATCAGTACTTGAGCAGAGGCTTGCAAACTCAAGGTGATTTATAGTCTTTGCCATTGCAATTTTTTAAAAACCCTCAGAAATGTTAGGTTGGGGGGGGTAACCGCAATTGAAATGTCCTTTCCCTCTCACTCAACATGTGGCAGTGTCTGCAAGAGTCAACAAAATGGAAATAGTTCTTATCCAAATAGGTAAGACAAGGAAAGTGGCTGTTAAATCACAACAATTTGCCCCCACAAGGAGAACACTGGCAGAAGAATACTATCTTTGAGCCACAGGCTCCAAAATATACTATATGGTAATTATACACAGTTACGCCATTTTAGATGCTTTCTCTGCTGTGATTAAAACAGAACTCAGCAGGAAAGCAGGAACTATTCCATTTGAGAGCAAGTTTATAGTGGGTATGTAGCACCTGACAACACTTCTCATTAGCTGAAGAAGAAACCTACTTTGATACAAAACTCATACACAGCACTACATTGAGACCTAATAGAAAGAGGACAATAGTGCATACTATTCCAACTTCCCCCTTTCCAAATTTCTACTTTTCACTCAGAAAAAGACATTTCCTATAGCTTTAATATTATTTTATGTTTACCACAAGAACAGATCAGGTCTGCACATAGTGTCCCCTACAACAAGATGTCAAACATACAAATGTCAATTCCTGTTCTCTCAGTCAAACATGACACCTGAAAAGGGCTTGAATTTCTTACAGTTAATCAAAACTAGAACAAGTTCTGAAAGAACGAAGAAAAGAAACACCAAATAAAATAAAAATGTAAAGCAACACAAATTACGTACTCCTTAGAAAAAGAAAGAATATTGGATTTCTGGCAAAATACACTAAAGAAAAATATTAAGAGTGAAGATAGAACTTTAGAAAATAAACACAAAAGACTCACCCTTGGACTCACTACAGACAGGAAGGATGGCAGCTCTATAATTTGACAACACTGTTTCCATGAGGTAGCTGATCGCTGATGAATGATGTAATCAGTGTAGCCAGTGACTGCTTTACAGTGGCTCGTGAACACAAGGTTCTAAAATTAATAAAATTTAAAATGTTTTGTGAAGGTTCAGAATATTATTATCATATGAGCTTGCAAGTAACTAGTCACAAAAAAATTCACAGAGATATAACTAAGTTATAACTACATTATGATAGTAAACTATTAAAGTATGTGTTCACTCATTTTGTAGTCTAACTGTGATTTTTAATTTCTGAGGTCCAGACTCACTAATCAGTAGAAGGAAAACACATGAGTTAAATGCTGGTTAGTGCCATGCCTCTTATTTTCTATTGGGTGCTGAAGTAACCACAAGCTGGCTGGAAACAGAGTGTGTGGTTTGTATTGAGAAGCTAGTGGCTGAAGAAACTCAATATTTTGCTTACTTCTGGCAAACAGGAAAATGTCCCTCTTTAAAAACTGTAGCCAAAACTGTAACTGTAATTTTTGGCATTGAAACTATAAATAATTAATTTTTAGAAACATCCCATGCTCTAGATTCTATTCCACGTCAAAAGAGACAATAATTCTTGAGATGACACCACTACTATTTAATTGTTACATTCAGTATTAATATTAATATTATTTATTTATTTCTTGAATTTGTACCCTGCCCATTTAGTCCACTGACTACTCTTAATGAAGGTCTACACTGAATGGAGCATATTTACAATGAAGACTAGCTAAACATTTTTTTAAAAGTCTATGAGGAAAGACCTCAGATTTCAGCTTCTTTAATTACCTGGTTGGTTGCTACAGTTAGCGTAATTACTTGTAAAAAAGGCCAACCATGATTCTGCATTTCACAGAACGTTCTACTTGTGAGGTTGAGGCACTAGTCCATAAAGTCAACATCTTTAGGTGATCCCAACTGGATTACAAACTTGCCGGAGGTTCTAAGAGCTCTTATAGACAATCACATTGTCATACAGATTTGGACATTAAAAGCTTATCCTACCACCATGCACTTGAATGTTCAACAGAGTCACAAACATCAAACAGTATACTATAAAAGCTCATGTCTTTTTTGAAAGCCCAGGCTTAAAAAAATTAAAAAATACTTTAAAGAAGCGGAAGCCAGACAACAAGTTAACAAAACAGTTACAGTTAGTAATATACTAGATTAGATTAAACTAAAAAAAGGTTATGTAATTAACTTAGTTACATTGGGAGATGTCTCATTTGTAAATGAAGTGCAAGGACACAGTGTTAACCACATAATATAATAATAATCGTATTTTAGATGAAGGGGATCATAATAAATTAGTTTATGTTAACAGCAAGTGAAATGTTAACATGCAAAGGCTACCAGGTATATGTTAGAAGAAAAAGGTAAAAAATTACTTCCCCATGCATGTTTCTTCATACAGTGGTGCCTCGCAAGATGAATGCCTCGTGGGACGAAAAACCCGCATGACAAATGGTTTTTGCGATCACTGTGGTGCCTCGCAAGATGGCTTCTTCTATGGCCGTGCTTCGCAAGATGATTTCCCCCCCGCGCAAGATCGATGCCTCGCAAGACGAAAATAATGCATTTGTCTCGCGAGATTCCCATAGGAATGCATTGCAATGCATTCCTATGGGAAACCACTTTTCGCAAGACGAAAATTTAGCAAGACAGCGCTACTCGTGGAAGGAATTACTTTCGTCTTGCAAGGCATCACTGTATTTTTATTTGAAAAACATAACCTGTTTTTTGCAGCTATGCTAAAGAGAGAGTAAAATATTTCTAAAATAGCTGTCTACGCACTTTTAGATTCAAAGTGAAACTATACGAGTGGAGATAATCTCTGGACATAATCTGACTGAAATCAGTAGGGATTAAAGTGCATGTTCTGGGTTTTATTGCTGTGGCCCATTTAAAGCAAACAAGTGTTCTGCTTATTTGCTTCCCCATAGTGTTTAATGCATTCTCTGGGCAGTTTGTTGTCCTTGTTTAGTCGTTAAGTCGTGAGCACTTGGGGTTGATGTCCTTCAAAATGGATAGGTTTGTTCTTTTTGCAGTCCAGGCAACTCTCAAGAGCTTCCTCCAGCACCACAATTCAAAAGCATCAATTTTTTGGCAGTCAGCATTCTTTATGGTCTAGCTCTCACTTCCATACATCACTCCAGGAAAAACCATAGCTTTGACTACGCGGACCTTTGTCAGCAAGGTGATGTCTCTGCTTTTTAAGATGCTGTCGAGGTTTGTCATCACTTTCCTCCCAAGAAGCAGATGTCTTTTCATTTCATGGCTGCTGTCTCCATCTGCAGTGATCATGGAGCCCAGGAAAGTAAAATCTGTCACTGCCTCCATATCTTCCCCTTCTATTTGCCAGGAGGTGATGGGACCAGTGGCCATGATCTTAGTTTTTTTTATTTTGAGCTTCAGACCATTTTTTGCACTCTCCTCTTTCACCCTCAATAAGAGGTTCTTTAATTCCTCCTCACTTTCTGCCATCAGAGTGGTATCATCTGCATATCGGAGGTTGTTGATATTTCTTCCAGCAATCTTAATTCCGGCTTGGGATTCCTCCAGTCCAGCCTTTCGTATGATGTATTCTGCATATAAGTTAATTAAGCATGGAGACAATTTACAGCCCTGTCATACTCCTTTCCCAATTTTGAACCAATCAGTTGTTCCATATCCAGTTCTAACTGTTGCTTCCTGTCCCACATATAGGTTTCTCAGGAGAT